AAACCCCCCCCCCCCCCCGAGCGTGACGTAATTTTGCGAACTACCCCTTAAGAAGACGTGGGATGTTTACAATGATATTATATTATTATATGCATTAATGTGTGATTTATCTGAAGGAAATCGTAAAAAAATAAAGTATAAAGTTCACAAAATTTATTGGATTGAAATAATTATTTGGAATTTCAAATTACAATAGATTTCTGTAGATAAATTGAAAATTGAGTCTACAGTCTATGATATACTTAAACACAGTTTTTTGGTACCGAATCCATAGACATTATTTTTAAAATGACGACTTGAGTAAGAATACTTTAAAAAAAAAATTATTGATTGTTAATTATGTTGATATTAAAAAGAGAAAATCAGTTTAAAATCTAATAGATATAGGCTAAGTATTTTAAAAAAAAAACTTTGGGGCTTTCCATCAATTATATCAACAAAATAGAGGGGGGGGGGGAGAGTTGGAGATGTTTTGGGTTAGCTTAGTTGACGTCAACAATAATATTTTCTCGAATTAAATTTTCAATCTTAAAAATTGACTGGTTATTACATTTTTTAAACAAATTTAATGAGTGTAAATTAAAATAGTTTTATAATTTTTAGGCTTTTAACAATATAAAATTTATTTAATGTGCGTCTGTCTGTGCACTGCAGCTGGCCGGTCAGAATGTTAGCTCATTTAGTTAATTCAAGAGAAGTCAAAAGTTGGCCTCTCTTCGCCTGTAGATTCTGTTTGTGGCAAACGACTATAGGGCGGTATGTTTGCGGATGGAACAAGGACAAGGTCAAGATAAGTGGGTACTGATAGGAGTAGGAAGACGATATTTTGAGAATTAGGGGAAAGTAAAATGGGTAACAATAGTAACAGCGCTGCTTGAATGGACTTGCAAAATCTGTAACATCTATTTTGCATCATAGGTCATGTTGAAATAGCAAGTTCAACAGCACCGACAATGCATAAGAAATTACACCTGCTACTCAACAAAAAAAGGATTCAACTAATGCAAGTAGCTGCCAGGAGACAGAGACAGCTTATGGCAGTTATTGCTCACACTGACAATGCTTCTATTTTAAGTGCTGAATGGTTAGATGAGGATGGTGCTGACTTGTCTGGTATATCAGTTCCGCAAGATGCATATGATAAATCAGCTATTATGCCTATGGTACAATAGAACAACACCTTGCTACTCCCCGGGAAGATGATAACCATACTACAATTGTCAGCAATGCTCACAACAATCACATTTCTACTTCCACAAACAATGCTATTTAGTCTTTAACAACCTTTTTGTTGATTCTGCATTATAAAATTTAAGGGTAAAAACTTTTTAACGCGTTGATTAACAAGCTAAAGATGCAATAAAATGTTTTTCCTACAGTGGCGTAGCGAGGGTGTTTGGCGCCCGGGGACAAGATTCGCGCCCGGGGACAAGATCCATTTTAATGCGCCCCCTTTTCTTTTTTTTCAACTCTAAAACCCATTATTTTTACCAATAATAAAATATCAAATCACATTTTGGCGCCCCTAACTAGCTTGCGCCCGGGGACATCTGCCCCCTACCCCCCTCCCATCGCTACGCCTCTGTTTTCCTATAATTTTGTGTTATTAAAAAAGATCATCACAAATTAAAATGTATTTATATATTTATTTCTATTTTAATTCATTAATTAAAAAAAAAAATTTGGGGGGGGGGGTGGGATGTGTTTACAAATATTGAAATAATTACTTAGGGGACCAATGAAAGTTTGACAGTTGTTGACATGGGAGGAGGGGGTCAAAAATTGCTTTAAAAGTGCTGACGTAATCAATGGAGGGCGCCTTTGTTACAAAAGTAGCACATTTAAAGAAAACACAAACGCATTCCATATAATACTTGACGAAACGTGCACCATTTGTACGATATGCTCCCATTAAATGATTATTATTTTAAAAAATATCAATTATTTAAAGTTTTAGTTTTTTTCTAGCTTAAGTCAATGTACATGGATTCGAGCACATTTAAAATTATGCTAATGATATCTAGATATTTTGTAAAGCATATGGCCATCATGCAATTTATAATTAACACCCAGTCTATCCTTACTTTAAAATTCAAGGTTTTCTGATGAAATATATGTTGAAAAGAGATCGCACAAGTATGATTCTTGGCAAGAACTGTATTAAAACTATAGTACAAACCTCGCTATTGATGGAAACGTATTTATAATACAGTTTTATTGAAGTTTTTAAAATTGTGAAGTCGCAATTAAATAAATAAATAAAACTACCGATATATGCGAACAACAGGAAGTGAGATTTCGGCTCATAATCAGGGCGGGGCCAAGAGAGCACAAACATTTAACCGCTAACAGCATCTCACGTCCTTCGAAAGAAGCAAAACGATATTTATTATCGAATAGTGTACGCCTCAGACAAGATTAGCCTTAAACTTAAATATACGGTATACGGATCATCAACTAAATGGAGAGGGGCGATATTTCTTGAATGTCACTAATTGTAAGGGGTTAAGGGCACCAGTAACTAATCTTTTAAAAATTGTTTAAAAAAGGACAATTTGTTAGTTTAAATTATTTTTTTTCCTTCATGTTATTGTTGTAAGCAC